CGCTAGTCGCTTTTTTGAAAAATAGTCGCTGGAGGGGTCTGAAAAGTCGCTAAATATAGCGACAAAGTCGCTGAGTTGGCAACACCACAAACAGAAATATATTTATGGCACTTCTGGCTTTCCGTACGGTCACAATTATCCTAACTCATGTGACGTGTTCAGTAATGTTCTCAAATATAAAGTTCTCAACATTTCCTTGGTGGTTCAGGTTTACTGGAGCAGCTTAATAAGCTAAGAAGCTGTAAAAATGGTCCAAACATTTTGCGCTTCTTCATCCTGTTTGTGGATTAGAAGCGAAAAACTGTTTTGAAAACAGACGCCAGATCCACCTTCCTGGTAGATCCGTTCAGAACGGTCCAAATGGATCAAAGGTTTCCTCCAACAGACAGGGAATCAGAACCAGGATCAGAATCATCTGTGTTGTTATGAAGGATCCAGAAGAGGTTTTAAAAAAAGAGCTTTAAATTAGTAAAACATTTTGAAGTATGGCGTCAGATTTCCGCCTTAAGTTCACACGTGTAATAAATACTCATATGAACTACGCCATGTTCCGGCGGTTCTCCCCGAGCTTCCTGAGGGCAGCGGTCCAGAGAGGACATCCCATAATACCCAGGCTGTATTAACCTGCCAGCACCACACTGATACAAGACCGGGTAAAGGTTCTGGGCAGGTACCATGGAAGACGGATGATTATTCAGCTGATAAATGTCATATTTCAGTTTATTAATTTCAATAAATTGTCAGCTGGTCTGGTTTCTTGTTGCATTATAAGATCGACCTGGTTCTGATCCAGGCTAACGCTTCAGAACCCGCCTTCCGTGGTTTCATATCACCCTCGGCCGACTGCGACCGTCGGGAGATCGCCTCCATGTTTGTTTGGTAAAAACTACCTGAATGAGAAAAACAGTGAGCTCACCTGAGGTTCTGTTGGAATTAATGAAAACAAATCCAGACCTGTGGGTCAGAACCAGAAGAGGGTGATTAGTGAAAGTTCTGAGGGATTTCTGGTGCAGACGTCTGACGGACTTACTCTGCATCTCTGTAGGGATGGAGGCCAGGGTGGACGAGTGGATGGGAAAGGCGTACTCGGCGAGCGCCGAGCTCAGGTACGTCTGTTCCAGGCTGGGGACGTTGGGCAGGCGCACAGACGGCTGGTAGGTCAACACACTGGCAGGAAACAGACAACTGGTCACAGGTCTGCGTTAGAGTCAACCACACATCACAGATGCAGTGTTTTAAGTATTCTTAGAGACCTTCCTACATCCAGAAAACAGTTTGAGGAACTGCAGATGGTGAGATCAGAGATAGAAGACACAGCAGGTGTTTGTGGGACATAATTAACCTCAACTCAGTTTATTTAAATAGAACCAATCCAGAACACATGTAACCTGATCAATCAGATCATCCAGAAAGATTGGATTTAAGCTTACTGAGGAAAAGCAGCTGATTGCATCTAGCTATGGACTCTCCTGGATCAGCATGTGGAGACAGTAGATGTTCGATTTCATGTGTTGTTGCCTCTACAGTAACGAGGGCTCACTTTGAAGTCCATTTTATCAATTAATCAAATTTGTCAGTTTTGAAAACCACATTTTTTATAGATTTTATTTTTTTTTATTGATCCCCGAATCAATTACTAATAATCTAGCGAATTATTAAGCAGCACTAGCTGAAAACATGCTCAATATATTTTTAGTTTTTACATCAGCAGGACCTGCAGAGGTGTAAATTAAAGTAAAAACGTAACAAAGTTCATTTACTTTGTTATGTTTTTTTTAAGCAACACTTTAACTTTTATTTTTCGTAACATTAAAGTTGTACAAGCCTCATTGATCATGAAGGGGTTAGTTTATGAGAACAAAAGAGGAATTTCTGCAACTAAAACATTTCTACTTGTGGAGTTCTGGATAGAGAATACTGACAGACAAAAACGTTTGATCTTATATGCAAAATATTTATATATTTTGTCGTATAATTACTGCTCTGAGTGGGTCGCTCAGAACGGGGTGCTTTGGAGATTCTATACTCCAATTAACGATAAATCAATTACTAAATTAGTTAACGATTATTTAAATAATCGATTAATCTGATAATTTCAGCTTTAGTTTAGCTTTTTACATTCTAATACTAATTTGTAAAATTCTTTAATGTGGTCAGTTTCTCTCAGCTTTGAGCCGATCAGACATAAAGCTCAGCACTTCTGTTGAACATCAGGTTCATTCTGGAGGACAAACGGCACAAATATCAAACCAAAAGTTCAGGAAATAAAAAAGAAAAAGCTTTGATGGATCAGAACCGGACCAAGAGAACCAG